TTAATAGCCGGCGCTGTAACTAACTCGTTTGTCGAATAAAGTCGGCCGACTCCTCCGACAGACCGCCAATTATCTCGCGCAGCGAGACCGGGCCCTTCGGGAAACGCGTAGAACGCGACTGGTCAGTTGCAACCCCGCGGATACATTTCCGCGTACTCGGGATGAGAAAGAGCGAGAGAGAGGGAGGAAGTGATGTGGTCGGCCGACATCTGGCCGACGTGGCCGGGGCATTTCGTGAAATTCGTCGTTACACGGCGCACAGATTACGCGCGGTTTAGCCGCGCGAGCGGCCGGAAGCGGTTTACACATTGTACACGGAAGCAATTATCGCGGGTGCATGTTGCAACAACGACGCGCCGACGCGCTTTAATTGCCCCGACACGCACACACACACAAGGTCTCGCCCGTCTCTCGCGATCGCCCCGAACGATCGCAGTGTCTCTCGCTCTGTTTGTTTTTGTTTTTTATCGCGCACCTAAACGCCGAATAGCGCGTCGCCATAAATCGCAGGCGCGATAATGCGGGGAAGAGCTGTGCGGTAATAATTAGCCGGGCGATTTCACCGCGGTGGGAGGCAATCGGTGCGAAATTTTGGCACGTGGCGAAACTCGCCGAAGAGTGCCGTGATTTCCGCTATAACGCTAATTAGACGGCGTATTCGCCTCGCTTCCAGATACATATTCAAATATATCAACCGATCCGCACGACGCCCCGTTTCGCCGCGGCCGTGTTACGGAAACGCCGGGGGTAAATCATTCCGTCGATACGGTGAAGAGGGTCCAGTAAGAACGGAACCCGGCGGTCGTACTATTATTCCGTCGTGTAATGCCAGCCGGCCGGCGAAACAATTCGCCGATTCCAGCCGCGATCGCAGCTCGCAAAGTGTCGAGTTACTTTTTCCGCGTCCGGTCGCTCGCGGGCGCCTCGGCTTTAACATCGTATTCCGGCCGACCCGTTCGGTCAGGCTCTCTCGCTCCGCCGGCGCTTCCGTGTCTGCCGTGATTTCCATGCGTGCGCGCGGATCCCACGCGTGTGTTCCCGTCCACGAGGAGAGGCGCATACCGGGTGAGCCTAACGAGATCTCAATAGCTCGCGCGCGATCCCCGGAGTTACCGCGCGCAAATAGGCGCACGAACTCGCGGCGTCCGCGAGCGGGCCGGCGATGAATGCTAAACGGCAGAATGCGGAACCACCGCGGGAGAAGAGAGCCGAGCGAGAGGGATAATGCGCGCGCGGTAAATGGAAGAATGTTATGAGCTCGTGCGGGATAGCGTTTCGCTATAACAGCCGGTCGGTCCGGCGCGATAATATCCCTCAGGGGGGCACGAAAGCAGAACGTACCGTTTTAACAGGCCGGTAAAAAGAATTTCGACGCGGGGCACCGGGCCGAGGGGATAATTTATTCTCGGCCTTAATAGAAAGCGGACGTCATCTAATTATTATCCGAGAGAGGGAATGCATGTTACAAAATTCATTTGCGACGGCAGATGATTAACCTGAAGCGTTACGACTCGCGAAAGAGCGTACCGCGTGTATGAATCTTAGATTAGCGTGAAAAGAGCGCGTCCGTGCGATAGCTCGAAGGTCTCGCACCCCGCCACTGGGAGGAGAAATTCGCGACGGTTTTCGCGAGCGGGAGAGAGCGCGCGCATTTCGCGGACGGTGCGCCGGCGGATAATCCCGGTTAAACGGCACGATTTGCAGATCGTTACCGTCTATCATATATCATGCGAGAACATTGTCGTGTGTCAATAAAATATTCCTGTAACGTTAATATTTCATGCGTTTACGCAACCTATCTCGCCGGCGCGCGAACAACCGTGTATATCGCGCCATCGCCGAGGCGACGTGCGGGGAAAATCTGATTGCCCTCTTCTTTCACGATAGACCGCCAAGTTTTGTCAAGCCGGTCGCTTCTTACGACTCGAGCCGAGTCTTCTTACGATTCGCGACGCCGGTTTTTCGTTAACTCGCGCTATCTCGCGCTATCGCGAGCGAAATACACGTTGTCAAGTCGCGAATCCGCACTGAGAGAAATCCAGCTGAAATCATAGTCATTTCCGGCCTCGACTCCTTTACCATTACCTTTCTCTAGTCTTAATATAAAAACAGTATTAATATTATGCGTGTAAGATCATTATCACTGACATTGTACTCACACAGAAAAGTGATTTTCTCGGCTATAATTCTTCCACTCGTGCGGTTATAATTACAAATATCAACAATGTGTGACTTAGGTCTATATTAATAGTTTTTTTTCTCAATGTGTGACTTAGGTCTATATTAATAGTTGTTACTTGCAACTTGTTTCAAGCGTGATGTTTAGTCTTGAATTCAGAGGTAGATGTGAGTTTTTTTTTTTTTCGGTTAAATCGCGATTACAAATATAATGTCAGATTATTGCCAGATATATAACTCCTGAAAAACTCAGGTCCAACCCTAAATTAATATATAATATAATAAGTTTGAATATTTCACACGAAACGTCTTCAAGTGACAGCTATCAATGCAGGTTTTAATCTTATCATTTCGTGCTATCGAAACCTCGAGAAAAATTCTGCGGAAATGTGTAAAGTAGGTGTAAATCGAGTTGCTACACTGAGGGAAATTCCGTTAAATTACCGTTATTTTCGGCGATAAAAATATCTTCTTCTGGTTTTAACCCCAAAGATAATAGTAGCGATATGCATGTAAGGTTATTATCATTGACACTATAATAACAGTCATTAGACAAATGGTTCTCCCGACTATGTAATTCTTTCACTTACGCGATTACAGTTACAAATACCGGAACAAATACATAAAGTTTTTCTCTAAGTGTACGTATACTTTCATTCGTAAATAGATGCGTACGTCGTACAAGTCGGCCAAAAACCGGACGCACGCTGCGTCGCTCTTTCCGTAAGAGAGAGAGAGAGAGAGAGAAAGGAGAGAACGTACACGCGCGAGAGATGAGCTCGAAAAGAAGGAGGAATCACGCGGATAGCCTGGTGTCATTAATCAAGGCCCTCGAAGCGCGCTAAATCACCCGCGAGATATAAATTACCGCGGGCAATCTGGTATCAATAAGGCGTAATTCGGGATAATAGGGCGTGCGAGGGAGGGCTCGGCGGCAGCGGGGAGGAGAGGGAGCGACGGGGTAGAGGGCAGGACGTACGGGAGGATATATAACTCCTGATTTCCGAGGGTGCTGTAGATTTCGATTAACCCGAGTCCATCCGGCTGTCCGAGCCGAGCCGCGACATTTCTCTTCGTTACCCTCTTCTCGTCCGGAGTCTTCGATCCTTCGTCTTTCGTATAAATGATTTAACGGGCACAGACGCGCCGGGCACTGACGGGCCCGGCTTTGCCGGATTGTTGTTCCCCGTCGCGAATACGAAAGTGCCTCCCCCTTTACCACAGACACGGGAGAAAAACGTCGGAATCACGAAAGCCGATCGGAATGACCGCTCGACTATTGATGCGTGAGCCATGCTTAACGATACCTTCGGCGAAAGGAAATACACCTCGGCGTGAACGAGAGGTTTATCAACCGTATCCGGATTAATTTAATATTTCATGCCTAATTTAATTGTTTTCTCCGATTAAAATCGCCGTAGGTTTCGCGGGACGAGATCTCATTTTTTCCATCTATTTCCCCTCCTCTTTCAAACGTATTTTCATCTAAATTTCCCTAGTTCTTATTTCTCTCATAATTTTCCTGTTCGTAATATCACCTTATTTGCGAACCATCGTTTATTTCATTAAACTACAGTGTGCCCGAAGGGGCTTTTACCTTTCACAGGATGAACAAAATCTGTCTGTCTGTCTGTCTATACCGTTTCTATCTCTCCCAATGAATCGGAAGAAAGCACGTGACGTTCGAATCAACGTTCCGGATCGTCGAAATCGATCATCTGCGGTGGATCGACAGGTCGCGAGATTCGTCGGCGCGATACGACAGCGGCGCGCCCGGCTAATTAGTTATCCTCGATACATCTGGCCGATGGATAATTAGCCGCTACGGTTTATACGCGCGATAACTCGCCGCTCGCTCGCACGCACGCACGCACTCGCGTTCCCGACGACCCGCTGGGATTTGTTTCCGCCCGTGAAAACAATTTGTTTCTCATTCCATCGGAACCGAACCCCGTCATCATCGGCGCCAGAATGGGATAAACCCTTCCCTCTCGCGCCCCCGTCTCCCTTTCGGCGTCCGTCCTCGTTCCTCCCGCTTCATTTCCTCGGCCCTATTACATCGTTATTAGGCTCGTAACAGACGTGTAAGCGTTCCGGGGAACACCCCACTGGGTTATTAATGGTGACTCTTTGTTTTTTCGTACTCTCCACGCCCGATGGCCACGCTGTACTCTTTTTTCCTCTCTTCCCTCTATCTCCGTCTCCTTCTCTCATCTTCCTCGCTCTCATCTACCTCCTTTCTTCTCTCCGCCTTCTTCTATCACGATCCTCCCTCTCTCTCTCTCTCGTTAACCCGAGCTTTCGCCATTTCTTTCTTCGTCTTATTTCTCTCTCTCTCCCTATCTTCCCCTTTACGTTCCTCCCTCTCTCACGCGCCTCGAATAAATTAATGCAAGCGCGAGCATTAAGGTAGGTGTCGGGCATTCTGATGCGAATGAGCTCTGCCTCGCGCGGTGACAAATTGGTGGCGCAGGTAAAGGGATACCGTTCGCGCGCGCCCCATACTCACATACGGAGCATACAGTCGTCGAAAGGGCGTGCACGCGCACCGGCCTTCCTCCAGACGGAGGAAAAAAAGTGGCCGCGCTGGAAGCTCGCCGGTAGAGAGAGATTTCGACGGTGGTCGCCGGCTGTTTCGAGACGGCTCTAGCGCGTTCATGTCGCCCGCGTTCCCCCGGATCTCGGGCGCGAAATATACAATCCGTTAGCGTAGGTTACCGCGAAGCAGTCGCGCCACCACGTCACACCTGCACAACGCGGAATGACGCTCGCTTTCTCGAGCAGGGGGCGAAGGGAGGTAGGATCGACGCGGCGCGACTCACCTTCGCAGGTAAACTGTCCGTAATGCTTGCCGCTGCTCTTGTCCCCGCAGACGACGCACTCGATGTTAGGCGATTTGTCGGTCTGCGAGCTGCCGGACTGCGAGCTGTTGGCCTGGCTGCCGGGGGTGGTGCTGGGTGGCAGGGGGTCCCTCGAGGTCAGCACCGAGCCGGCGGGCACCAGGCAGGTGATGTCCTCCGGCGTGGCCGAGGGTGTGAGATGCGCGGGTGGCATCGGCGGCGGCGGACCGACCTGAATGGGTCCGCCGCCGCCCCCGCCGGCTGCGCCCAAGGCGGCCGCGGGGTCCCGCGAGGCCCATGAGGGCGGCGGCGGCGCGACCAACGCCATCGAGGCGGTGGTGCCGCGCGCCGGGAACCCCAGCTCCAACGTGGTGGTGAACTCGGGGTGGTGGTGTCCGGCTGGCACCCGGCCAGGGAACAACGTCGCCGTCGCGGCCGGGTAAACCACCCCGGCAGTCGCCAGGGCGTCCGCGCCTCCCGTCCCGCCTCGAACCACCCTGCCGGTTTTCTACCCGCGAGACGCGACCCACGGAGACGGGAGCGACTGGGTGGAATGCGCTCACCGAGCCTTCACTTTTGTTCTGATAGCGGGACGTCACTCACTTCTTCACTGTCCTCGAGTTTCCGATCGACGGACACGCGTGATCGCGGGACAGGTCGCGCGGCGGACGACCGACGCGTATCATACTTGCAGGGCTCGCGAGGCGATACCACGCGGAGGGTATCAGACTTCAACGCGCACTGTACCTCTACAATCCCATTCCTGATTACTCTCTCAGGTTGGACGACCGCCCGATAGATAGATGCGAGGATCCACGAAGAACCAAGTCCTTTATTCGTCAGCGCCTACCGAGGTATCCCACCTGTGCGAGCTACGTGAACGTCCCACGGCTCCGATCGCTCGCAAATTGCTCGCGCAACAACAACCAGCGGGTCATTCCGCCGCAATTCCCGATGATCCCGCGTGAACCGCGAACGATACAACGATGTCAGAACAGTGACAACCCGGTCACAACTCCCTGCTCGCGCACTTTGGGCCACTTCACTTTTCCACGTGATCACCTCGCGATCTCCCGAGGAGGAAGGTCTCGCGCTGAGACACCGACACCCACACCGAGCACCGATCTATCCCGGCGACGGTCGTCCACCCTTCGAACGTCAGGGCGGCGACACACTACCCACCGGGCACAGAGGGAGGAGGGCGGTACAGGTCCCGGAGCAGTCGCGTGTTTCCTCGGTACCGCGTGTCCCGCGAAACCACGATGCGCCCTGCGTACGTATGTGCGAGTTCACGCGTACCTATAGTCGATATATCGTGGACCGTAAGCGTTGCGAGACCGACCGCGACACTCGCGTTCGCGCGAGCCTGTGTGTACTCGTGCGCTCGTGAGTGCGCTCGCGCGCGTGTACTCCTCCGGATGCGTTTTGCGCGCGGTGTTGTATGCGTGGAGGTGGCGGCAGAGGTGGTGGTGATGATGTCGTCCCTCCGTCGCGCGCTCGCAGCGCCGAGCAGCAGCAACAGCGGCGGCGGCGGCGGCGGTGACTGTGGTGGCGGTGGTGGTGGTGGTGTTGGTGGCGGTGGTGGTGGTGGCGGCAACAGCAGCAACGGCAGGAGCAGCGGCCCGTAGTAGTTGTCGTAATAGTAGTAGTAGTAGGAGGAGGAGGAGAAGAAGAAGAGAGGTGATACTCGACTACCGCCTCGATACGACTATTCTTGGGGCCGACCAGAGACCGACTGCCGACTAAGGCGACCCCTGACACCGACCTGGGGCCCCCACCATCGCGAACCCGCGAGGGTTTCTCGCGGGTTCCACCGGTTGCCATGGCTACCGAAGGTGGGGTCGAGTCCCGGGCTCGCCCCGGTCGGCCTCTCATTGGCTACGGGCTTGCCCTACCCTGACGACCAGCACGCGTTGTCCCGACCAAGTAGTTCCGTACCCACTTTGACTACTCGATCTAGTCGTCTTGCTCTTTCCCTCTCTCTCTCTCTCTTTCTCTCACGCGCGCGCGCGCGCGTGTACGATAGCGCGTCTCTCTCTCAGCTACGTCGCGAACGTCTCGCTCGCTCCCTCTCGCTCTCCATCTATCTATCCGTCTACCGTCAGTCTATTCGTCCTACTCTGCCTCTCCCTCTTCGTACCCTTTATCATTCTCTCTTTCTCTCGGTACACGAGAACTCCGGACGCGCTCCTCAGTCCCTCTTATCACTCTCATTCTCTCCTTCTCCCTCGCCTGCCGCGTCCCACCACCGCTCCTCGTGAGATCTCTTCTCGCGGAGCGAGCTCTCTCCGGCTTCTTCAACCTGCTGATCATATTACTACGCTTTTTATCAAACCGACCGCGACCGCTACCACGAATCGTCATCGCCGTCTCTAAGCTCCTGACGGGCAACTTTGTCTTGCCGGGCGGGCGCCGCTGAATTCGATCCGCCGAACTCAACCTCCAGCTTGCTTTAATCCCGCGCTTCTATCGCTCCCCTTCTTCCCGTTTCCACCTAATCCGTCTACAATTACTTCCGCTGATCGTAGCTCCGATTATGATTCTTGAAAACTACCCGATGAAATCGCGATCTCGGTGTGATCTTCCAACGACCTTTCCGCTTCCCGATGTCCCGCATCCTCTCATCCTGGAACATTCCTTCCGCTTCGCAAAAAAGGACTCTCAATATCGACCGAGAGTATCCTCCCGAACACCCATATGGAAGGATATTAACCGGCTAGAGGATGACGCGACGATCTATAGACGAGCGATTAACATTTCGTCCGGGTCTTTGGCCGTTTCTTCCTCTTCTTCCCGAGAGCGAGAAAGGACCCAGGTGGAAGGAACGCGGCCGTCCACCCCGACGGTGTCAGGGGCGGCCGAGGGAAGAGAGGTCAGAGCGAGAGGGCGGCAGCCAATGAGGACGAGGAGTCAAGTGGGGCGCGAAAAATGGGCCGTCCCGCCTTCCATCCACCCCCGAAGGCTAAGGGTGAGGGTAAGGGTGCGCGGAGTAGGGCTAGAGAGGGCTCCGAAGGCGGCCGGGGCATCGAGGTAGGGTCAGTCGGGTCGCAGCCCTGCGCCCCTACAGCCTCGCTTGTCATGCTCTTTGCTCTCTCTCTTTCTCTCCCTCCCTCCATCGCTCTTCCTTCGTCTATCCCTCTTTCTCTTTCGCAGCACCGTTTCCGTGTTCCTTCTGCGATGTGTCGCACGTTACGTTTTTCCGTGCCGCCGGAGTCCGATATTTTTCACGTTCGGTCTCACTTGCTGGTGTTTTATTCTCAGTCGTATCGATTCGACGATACGAATACCTGAACGGGCCCCGCAAAATCTTGACACCGTTGCCACCGCGATTACTTCCAACGCAACGTTTGAGAATATCTACATATTCATTGTTCTCCCTCCTTGTTCGCTCCATTCGCTGAGTCCTTCGCGGTGATCGACGTCGAACCAAAGCGGGCGCGTAAGACGATCTTCTTCGCACGGAGAGACGAGATCGGGGAGAGGCGTCTCCGTGGTGTGACTCGAGCGCGAGGAATTCGGCCTACCGATCCATCGGTGGAAAGCGCGATTGTTTTTCTCGACGGGTTGCGTGCCTGCCTGCGTGCACGCGTACGCAAATAGCGGACGGCGAATAGCCGAGCGGCAAGCGAGCGAAAAACGAGAAACGAGGGTACGGGACGAGAAACTCGAAGACGATCGGAGCGAGCGACCGTTGGCATTCGCGCTCTTGAACCGAACTCAATAAACGCGACCTCCGTCCGCGACGTTCGGAGCCGGCCGTTAACAGCGCTGTCGTGGACGTCGTCGAGGGTCGAATTTAGGCGGTGCACCCGACGCGACCGCATCGAATTTCGCGCGACGTTCCACCCGACGACGTCATCGTCTCCCGTTTCTATCGGAGATAGAGCCGCGGAGTGCCCGCTTTGTGCTCCTGCTCTCTCGTGGCGCCGGATAATCGGAAATTTATCAGATAGAATTTGGCAGCAACGTCACTGGTCGATTCGTTAAAGGCCGCGTCTCCTGTGAGTGCGCACTCATATTTATCGCATAGAACGACAGAGTGAAAGTACAAAAGAATAATGAAAGAAATTATCCGAATTTTCTCAAAGACATATGTCGTGCCAAGTGGAAAATCTGAGGATAACTTTTGCTCACCGATATAATACGAACTTTACATTGCTATTGTGCGATGTAAATTTAATGATTAATTCACGACAATAATATACGTTTACTTCAAAAACGTCATTTAAAAAATTGCACAGTTTTCCCATCATCGATTGTCCTCCTCACGTTGTGATAATCACGAAAATCTGTCTGGATAACAAAGAACTTTCGAACCTCATTCGACGTATTCTTGATACGCATCCCTCAGTTTCCTTTCAAGAATCGAATTCTTTGTAAAATTACCAGAAGGGCGAGACGGCTCATTGTCCAAGGCTTTTTCATACTTCCGATTCACGTTCTTTTCGGGTAATTATTAGTCCAATTAAAACGAACTTCCTAAACCTCTGGATCTTCAAGACTCCCTTACATCTCTCCCGTATCGTATGCACATTCGTCTTCGGGGCACGAGATCCGGTAACAAGTCGGGGCGCATCCGAAAAATCTCAGATCGCCGGAGGCACTAACCGCCGTCGTGGCCGGCGGGGGCGTCCCGTGGCGAACCCAAGTACGACCCGGTGTAACCGCAGCCGGGGGTGAACGAGCGTGCGTAATAGTTATAGGGGGTACGTGCGGCGATCGCGAGTACGATGCTAGGGTGGAAGTCCTAGTGGTAGGTATAGGTGAGGGAGGGGAAGACCGGGGTGGGCGCCGAGCACAAGTGCATATCGGTGAAGGGGTGGCCGAACAATGCGCTCATTCAATGCGCTCTAGATATGATTACCGGAAACCATCCCGTAATTACTTTTTGTACATCGAAAACGCACGAGGCCCTTCGTCTCTCCCTTCGCTCGAGCTACACCCCTTCGCCCCCACCGCCAGCCCCGTCGTCGTCTCGCCACCGTCGCCGTGTGCTGCTTCTTGGATCACGCGACGACCTTTTTCCACCCCTTCGGTGATGCTTTTAACGTGCTCGGCCTCACCCGTTGTGACTCGCCGCTCCAGAGACGATTTATCGAAACTGTCACGCTTCGCGGTGCACTTCGCGCCGGCGCTCTTACGGAGCACTCGTAGTACTCGTTCACGCTTGAGCGGGCCGAGAAAAGATTGACTCCGGTGATCATATCGCGTTTCCCCCTTCTCCTCTCCTCTTGCAAATCGAATTTGCACCTTCGACGGATTAAATGCGAGTTTACGGGCAAACGTAAAACTATGTGCGTAATATAAATTATATACTCGTAGCCTTTTCAACATTCGCTGGAAATTAAATGCTTGAGTTACCTTCAAAAAGTTGCTTTGATCCTTAAACATGCGTATATAAGCTCGTAAAATTGCGGATATTTTGTTTTCCGTTACTCTACAACATATCTAATAATAATATTATTATTATATATATTATTACATATAATAATTAATAATATGTATATAATAATATCACATATTATATTATATATTAATATATTAATATCATATATTATTATTACAATATCGGAATATATCTAAAGCTCGTGAAAATTGGCGAAAAACACGTCCAACGGTTCTCCCTTATAAGTAGCATCTTTCGCCGCTCACGATGCTCAAAAATCAAAGCGTACGATACACGTCGCGATTACGACGAAGCATCACCGTTCCGAGAGGTTTCGTCGTGTTTCGGATCGATCGCGAAGAAAATCACGGCGCGTTCCGCGACGAGCAAATATTTATCCCGCGTTATTAATTAAGTACCGAGGGAGTTGGCTGTGTCACGAGCGCATGGGTTCGCGAAACGCAAACGGCGATCCGGATATTTTTCCAATCTTTCGACCACCCCGCAAAGAGCGCGCGCGTTCACGCAGATATTGCACAGCCCTGCTTCCGCACGTTGGCCGCATGTAATCTCTGCCGTACGTCTTTGATAGGTTTATTACCGAACTCGGGCTTGTTTGCCCCGTGCACATAAAGTAGCGCTGGCTTTTTCTTCCGGGAGAGCGGTTCTCCGTCCGCGGTTTCACCGGTTGTGCGCTCCTCCTCGGGAACGAGAACTCGCCTCGAAAATAGCGCGTGTGAAGAACGGCCGGAACTGACCGTGCCTCGTCGTACCTCTCGAACACTCGGATCGCGCCCGGAAGACATCGTCAACCCTTTACCAGCGACGACTGTTACAGGGAGGAAACAAGCCGAGGGTGTGCTACTCGTAGCGCCTTGAAAAAAATATTTACGCGGCTGTGAGTTTCGTCCAAGAGGGAGAATCACTGCTCTCTCTCTCTCTCTTTCTCTTTTTCTCGCAGTCGTCGCGGCGACGACGACGACGACAACGACGACGATGACGACGAAGACGACGACGATGGCGGTGGCGACGGTGGTAGTGGAGGCGGCGCCTGCATTATGAGTGTGTTCATATTTCCTGCGTTTGCCTCCTTCCATCCCTTATCTGTCTTCCCTACCCTCGGAGCCCTTTTGTTCGCACTCTTTCGACTGTTAATGCCGCGAAATTAACTCCGGGAGGAGCGAGTTTAAGAACTGCGACTGGAATATAGATATACATATATATATATATATACATATATATATATATATATATATTCTCTCTCGCCCCTCTGCCTGTTACCTCCCCACCTCCCGGTTCACGGTTACCCCATTGTCCCGTGAGCGGTATTA